TTAATAACGTATGGTACTGTAGATTTCAAAATTGCTAAGAGAGTACATTTCAAGTGTCTTACCACACAAGATCAGTGATGGGTATGTTAAGTAGCTTGATTTAATTATTCCCAATTATATACGTGTATCAAAATATCATATCGTGTCCCATGAATGTATATAATTTTTAAAAATTTAAGCCCCTGTACTGCCAAGTATGGGGTCTGGAAGATAACCTGGCCACCCCTTCCCTGGAAATCTGTCTACATTGCTTTGCACTTGATAAACAGATTACTGAGTACTACCCCCGTGGGTGACTTTCTGCCTTAATCCCCTACTGTGTCCATCCAGATAAGCTATGGTAACACAGCCCAAATCTCAGTAAATCTGACATGTTCATCACAGAGCTGCTGGGACCCTTGCTATCAGGTGTCCTCACCCAGGGACCCAGAAGGAGACAAGTGTCAACTGGCATTGCCAAGAGAGGAAAAGGGAATGGGGTAGACTCTTCAAACTTCTCTCTGGAAACTGGCCCATGTGGTTTGTGTTCTTGGCCAAGGAGAGTCATATGACCACACCTCCTTATAGGGCAGGGAAGTACAAGCCTAGTCCATCTCTGTCTAGAAGACAAACCAGAAATATTTGGTGAACAGCAATACTGACACCCCAGGTGACCACGACAGGGGGGAAGAGCCACTCCTTCTCGAGTCTGGAGCTGAGGCCACAAACTTCCCTTGATTTTCTGCAGTATCCTTCTCCAGTGGGGAACCCAAACATCGGTATCCTCGGTTAGCGTGCAGTGCTGTCTCTCTGCAGAGTGGGTTTTGTTTCTGTGCTCTAAATGCAAGCCATCAGAACTAGTCGCTCTCAGTTCTGTGCTCCCAGAACACTGGGTCTAGAGCTCCATACAGATTGTGCCAATGATTTGTGGGGGAGCTATCGGAAGAGGCAAGAGCATGCGGAACCTCACAGCATGGGCACAGGAGCCAGTCTGTGCCACCACTTCCTGGGCCTGGGATGTTGGCAGGTTACACGGCCCCTCAGGGCCCTCACTCCTTCCCCTGTGGAATGGGAATGTTGTAGAGCCTACCTTAAAGGGTTGCCTTGAGGATTAATAGAATCAACACATGTGAAGCTCTTAACACAATACTTGTTATGTAGTGAGTACCCAGCAAATGCTACCTATGTAACCACTCCCAAACTCTCCAAGTTGCCCAACAGTGAGCCCTTCAGACCAGATAACCTGGGGCTTTTTGATCCCTCTATCCAAAAATCAAAGGATGAGACTTCTTGTATCCATGTAAATAAAAAACACGTCCTCCCTTTCTTTCTCCCTTTCTCTCTCTCATTCTGACTCTTACGAAGACAAACAACCCAGTTGAATAACAGGCAAAAAGAGAATGTATGAATGACCATTAATCATGCAAAAAGATGTTCAGCATCAGTCGTCATTAGTGGATTTCAACCCCAATAAGGTCATTTAATTTAAGTCATTAGTGAATTTAAACCACAAATAACACTTTGATAGCTAAAGTAAAGAAATGAAAGTACCAAATGTCAGCGGGGATGTGGCACCTGGGACTCACATGTTGCTGGTGGAAATGCAAAACTGGTATTGCTAGCTTTGTATGAGAGTACAAGTGTCTTACGAGGTGAAACATACGTTTAACATGTATGTTAATTCAGTAATTTCCAGGGGAAATGAATGTCTGCATCTACACAGAGATCTGTACATGAGTATTCAGAGCAGCATTATTGTCAATACTCCTAAACTGGAAATAACCCACATGTTGTGGCATATTTATACGATGGAATACTAGCCAGCAGTAAAAAGGAGTAGAATATTAATATATGCAGCAACGGGGATGCATCTCAAAAACTTTATACTCAGTGAAAGTCAGAGACTATATATGATTCCTTTTGTATGAAATTCTAGAAAAGGTAAAACTAAATTGAGAGCAGGTCAGTGGTTGTCTGTGGCTGTGGTCAGAAGGTCAACAATGAAGACACGAGAGAAATCCATTAAGCTAAGGAAACTTGTACTTATCTTGTTGCATGGTGGTGGTTACACAGTTACAAAAATTCATCAAACTGTACTCTTCAAATGGGTGAATTTTACTGAAAGTAAATTAAAAAAAAAAACACAACCCAGTCCAGGCACAGTGGCTCATGCCAATAATCCTAGCACTTAGGGAGTGAAGATTGCTTAAGCCAAGGCATGCGAGACCAGCTTGGGCAACTTAGGAAGACCTCATCTCTAAAAATTAAAAAAAAAATACTAGCCAGGTTTGGAGGTATGCACTTGTAGTCCCAGCTACTCAGGAGGTTGAGGCAGAAGGATCGATTGAACCCAGGAGGTTGAGGCTGTGGTGAGCCATGATTATGCCACTGCCCTCCTGCCTGGGTGACAGTGAGATCCCAACTCAAACACACACACACACACACACCCCAAAGCCTGGTCGTTGAAGTGATTTTCAACCTATCACCCCCATGCCTGTATGTGGTGGTCTGGGGACCTAACGAGCAGACCTCCTTATTGGAAATAAGGTCATTCCAGGCTCATTTTCTTTCTCTTACCTGAGAGCTGTGGAGCCAGCTGACACTGAACAATTTCCAGTGGCCATTACAGTGTGTCCCAGGCGGAGGCTGACGGAAACAAGCTTGTGTTTCTGTCACTAATGATATGAGCCTTCACCAGAGTCTCTGCCAGGCCATGTTGGTCGTCATTACACCCATTGAAGAGGAGAACAGAGCAATAATGAGCTGGGTGTTATCGGCTCACAAATAATTTATAATGGGCAAACTAGGACAGGAACAGAGCTTTTTTTGGCTAAGGAGGTTGCATGTCACTCTTTAAAATCTAGGCCAAAAAATTATTTATAATGCATAGACAGTCACTCAGAAAGTTAAAGGGTTCCTTTCTTCTCTCTCATGTGTTTGAACACTGTGCTTTTGAGCTTGGACTAGCAACAAGCCGCCTCGGCATCTTGCTGCCACGCCCGCAGTTAGTCTGTGATGTGAGAGAAGTGAGTGCAGTTAGTTTCACATGTAAAGAGAGTGGCTTGGCTAGGGACAAGGCCTCTGTAGGAACCCCTGACAGATATGTAGGAGGGAAAAGGCGGGATAAGGAACAGACCTTGGGTAAAGGGTAGTGACCACACGCTTTACGTGAGCTTTGAAGAATTGCCTAAGTATTGTCGGGAAACAGCCCAATCCGAGATACCTTAAGAGATGGGCTGCGGACATGCGTGCCGAAATAAAGGCAGGTTGTATGTAATTAGGCCGAGGCAGACAGAGCAGTCACAGCTATCATGGTGTCCAGGGCAAGGGCTTTGGAATGCATCTATGTTTCTAAGGGCTGTTTGGGGAAGTATCTATATACTGATACCTATAGATATTGATACCTGCCCCAAGGGAGCTGTATCACGATCCACCAGCTCCCTCTGTCCTGTCCACACATTTTGCAGGAGCCTCCTGGTGAGAGATTTCGCTCTCCTGGGAACCTTGACCCCAGTCCCTGGGCGGTGGCTAGACCAACAGGTAGACCGAGTTTGATGGGCCCTGCTTTTGGGGTCTTGCTCTCTCTCTCAGGGAGCTGGAGTCATCTTGGGTGAATTTGGGAAGTGTGGGTCACCTTCCCCAGCCCAAAATCAGCCTTCAAATAAGCGAATTGTGGAGGAAGGGCTTGTGGCTTGTCATGAACGATCAAGGTCCTTTGGGCAATGCTGCATCCTGGGCTTCCTTGGGAGGGCTTTCTGTATCCCGTGTTCCTTGTCGGTTTTTGTTAGAGTGGTCCCTAGAGCCATGACTCTCCATTCTCTGGGGACCCCAGGGTTCTGCAGGCGTGGCTCCAGGGAGGTACCCCTCCCCTTAAACTTCACTTTGATCTCTTCTATAGGTGTGCCATGTAGCGTGTTATTATTTTTTTTAATAGACTATGTTTTTAGAGTAGTTTTAGGTCCACAGTGAAATTGAGCGGAAGGTACAGTGAGTTCCTAGATACCTCTGACCCCTGACACACACAATCTCCCCCATCACCAGCATTCCCATCAGAGTGACATGTTAGTTGCAATTGTTGAGCCTACGTTGACACATCATTATCACTCAAAGTCCATAGTTTGCGTTAGAGTTCACTCTTGGTGTTGTGCTTCCTATGAATCTGGACAAAGGTATAATGACATGTATCTGCCATTACGGTAAGATACAGAATCGCTTGACTGCCCTAAAAATCCTCTGGGCTTCACCTATTCATCCCTCCCTAACCCCAGGCAACCACTGATCTTTTTTTACTGTCTCTGTAGTTATGCGTTTTCCAGAATGTCACATAGTTGGAATCATATAACACGTAGCTTTTTCAGACTAGCTTCTTTGACTTGACAGTATGCATTTGAGTTCCCTCCATGTCATTTTTAAAAGAGTTCAGCTGTTCTTAGCAGCCTGGCAGCCACATGCAGTACCTGTCCTATACTGGGCCTGGGTCTTGCATAGCCTTGGCTATTTTGTGCAGAGTGTGCCTTGTCTCCCCAGTGGGGCGATGAGCTCCCTGGGGGAAGGGCCAGGATGTGAGTCCTGGTGGCCCTTGCAGGATACCTGGCCACCCCTCGTGCTTTGGCACCAGACTGAGTGCTCTGGGTTGGAGGGGACATGGTTTGAGGCTAAGGAACGGCTCTCAGAGTACAGCCATCTTGATAAGCATCGTTGTCGTTCGCTCTCTGAAAGCTAAAGCTCTATGAAGTCAGAGTGAGCGGCATCTGGCCACAGAGCTAATCTGTGCGAGATTTTGCATCTGAGTCAGAACTTACTGATTAGTAATGCTGTCTCTCTTTGTAGCCAAGAGTCTAGCAAAACATTTTTCTCTCCCCAGTACTCAGCTCTGAAATGTGGCTAATGTTACCTTCCTGAAAGAGTTTTTGATAAGATGGGCACAGTAGAATGGGCTCTAATAGAAAGCACCTCCATTTCATAACAAAATCTTTAGGAAGTGGAATATTCCAGTAACCTGTGCATTTTGTATTATACAGAGCTTCTCGAAACAAGTCTGAGAAGAAGCGTCGGGACCAGTTCAATGTTCTCATCAAAGAGCTTAGCTCCATGCTTCCTGGCAACACGCGGAAAATGGACAAAACCACCGTGTTGGAAAAGGTCATCGGATTCTTGCAGAAACACAATGGTAAAGGTCACACATCTCCCCACTTTTATCCTGCCCTGTTCTTTCCATGTGGTGATGATTTCATCAGTGTGGACTTCCCAGTTAGTTCTCTCTCCCCAGCAATGCCTGATCTCACCAGTCACAGACTTCCCCTTCCAAAGGTACTCCACCCTCTATAATAACCCATCTCCAGCTAGGTGGGGAGAGGACACTCACCTCTCAAATTGCGTTATGAGCCAGACAAGAGAATATGGAGCAGCCTCACAGGTAGCACCCAACCCAAGCTGGGTGGCATTCACAGTGGGAGCAACTTGCCAAAAATCCCTGAAGCAAGCACCTTTCATTCACTCCTGAGCAGACACAATGCTTGAGTACTCAATTCCTGCTGGGTCAGATTGTGTGGGCTTTTTCATCTCTCTCTTCCATTGCCCTGGACTCTGGCCTTCCGAGCTATACCCTGAAAAACATAAATGGAAAATAGTTCATTTACTTAATATTAAATCCATTGTATTTTTATTGAGATGTATTTTCAATACCATAAAACTCACCGTCTTGGCCGGGCTCGGTGGCTCAGCCTGTAATCCCAGCACTTTGGGAGGCCGAGGCAAGTGGATTGCCTGAACCCGTGGGTTCGAGACCAACCCGGGCAACTTGGTGAGACCTCGTCTCTATAATAAAATAGAAAATAGCCGGGCGTGGTAGCGCACATCTGTAGTTCTGGCTACTTGGAAGGCTGAGACAGAAAAATCGCTGGAGCCCAGAAGGTTGATGCTGGGGTATCCGTGAGCGTGCGTGCCACTGCACTTCAGCCTGGGTGACAGAGTGAGACTCCAACTCAAAAAAAAAAAAATCACCATCTTCAAGTATAGAATGTAGTGGGTTTTAGTATATTCACAAGGTTATGCGGCCATCACCACTACCTAATTTCAACAATCCCAAAGAAACCCTGTATCCTGTTAACAGTCATTTCCCAAGTCTCCCACCTCCCCCCACCCACCATCCAAGGCCTGGCAACCACTAGTCTGTTTTCTGTCTCAATGGATTTGCCTATTCCTAGCATTTTATACAAATAGGAGCCTACAATGTGTGGTCTTTTATGCCTGACTTCATTCTCTTAGCATCTGTGTTTTAGCATGTGTCAGGACTTCATTCCATTTTACGGACAAATGATATTCCATTTTATGGATATACCATATTTTTATTTTCCATTCATCAGTTGATGGATTATTTGGATTTTTTCCAATTTTTGGCTGTTATAAATAATGCTGTTATGACATTCATGTACAAATTTTTGAGTTAATGCATGTTTTTATTCCTCTTGGGTGTATTCCTAAGGAGTATGGTTGCTGGTTAAATGGTAACTAGTGTTTAACTTTTTGAGCAAATGCCAAACTATTTTCCAAAGTGGTTACACAATTTTGCATTCCCAGCAGTAAGGTATAGGGGTTCCAGTTTCTCTGCATCCTTGCCAACACTTGTTATTGTCTTTTTTAATTTCTGTTATTATTATTGCTTCCCTAGTGGGTGTAAAGTGATATTTCATGTGGTCTTGATTTATAGTTCCCTGATGACTAATGCCATTGCACTTTTCATGATCTTTTAGTGTGCTTATTTGTCGTCTGTACATCATCTTTGGAGATATAAATGCCCATTCAAATTTATTGGTCATTTTAAAATTGAGTTATTTACTTATATTTTCATTCTTGAATTTGTAAGAGTCTTGCATATATCCTGGATACTAGACCCTTATCAGGTATATAATTTGAAATATTTTCCTCCATTCTGTGGACTGCATTTCTACTTTTTAAAATAATGTTCTCTGACACACACAAGTTTTTTTTTTAACTTTTAATTTTTTTATTTTAAAGACGTGGGGTAAAATTCAGGGTTAGGTATACAAATGTTCATTATGCAGGTACCCTTGTTGATGAGGTGTGCCGCCCCCCCAGCAGATTACTACTACGGCCAATCCCGCATATCCCACCCCTCCGGCAGTTTCCCACTACTGCCAATCTTTTTCTTATAATATTACGATAATTGTTCAAGGTCCACTTATGAGTGAGAACATGTGATACTCAGTTCTTTGTTTCTGTGATAGACCACTCAGTTTTATAGACTCTAAGTCCATCCAGGTTGCTGCGAAGTTCATAATTTTGTCCTTCTTTATGGCTGTGTAATACTCCATTTTGTGTATGTACCATATTTTTTTTATCCAGTCCTTTTTCAATGGGCAACACAATTGGCTCCATGTTTTTGCTATTGTGAACAATGCTGCAATAACATGTGCAGGTATCTTTTTCATAGAGTGGTTTGAGTTCCTCCAGATATATTCCCAGTAGGGGGATTGCAGGGTCGTATGGGAGGTCAATTTTTAGATCTTTTAGGAATTGCCACACTGTTTTCCACAGAGGCTGTACTAGTTTATACTCCCACCAACAGTGTAGAAGTGTTCCCTTTTCACCGCATCCTCTCCAGCATCTGTTGTTTTTTGATCTATGATGATGGCCATCCTGACTAGAGTTAGGTGGTATCTCAGTGTGGTTTTAATTTGCATTTCTTTGATGACTAGTGAGGCTGAGCATTTTTGCATGGATCTATTGGCTGCTTGTATATCTTCTTTTGAGAAATGTCTATTCATATCTTTTGCCCACTTTGTAATGGGGCTATTTGTTTTTTTCTTTTCGGCATGTTTGAGTTCCTTATAGATCCTAGATGTCAGGCCTTTGTCAGACATACAGTTGGCAAATATTTTTTCCCAGTCTGTGTGCTGTCTCCTTGCTCTCGTGATGATTTCTTTGACTTTGCAGAAGCTTGTCGGTTTGATGAGGTCCCACTTGTCTATCTTATCTCTTATGGCCTGGGCACTTGGGGTTTTAATCGGGAATTGATTGCCAGTTCCAATTTCCATAAGGGTATCTCCTGGATTTTCTAAGGTTCTTATAGTTTGAAGTTTTACATTTAGGTCTTCACACACAAGTTTTTAATTTTAGCAGATTAATGTTCAATTTTTTTGGTTCCTTGTACTTTAGGTATAATATCCAAGAAACCATTGTCTAATCTAAGGTAATGAAGATTTATGTCTATGTTTTCGTTTAAGAGTTTTATAGTTTTTTATTTGTTTGTTTTTGAGTCGGAGTCTCACTCTGTCGCCCAAGCTGGAGTGCAGTCGCATGCTCACAACCACAACAGCCTTGACCTGCTGGTTTCAGGCGAGCCTTCTGCCTCAGCCTTCCAAGTAACTGGAACTATATACACACGCCACCATGCCGGGCTAATTTTTTTATTTATTGTAGAGACGAGGTCTCACCTAGTTACCCAGCCTGGTCTTGAATCCCTGGACTCAGACAATCCTCTCACCTTGGCCTCCCAAAGTGCTGGGATTACAGGTTTGAGCTACTATGTCCGGCCAAAGAGTCTTATAGTTTTAAACTACAGGTTAAGCATTTATATATTTGATCCATTTTAAGATAGTTTTTGTAGGCTGTATAAGGCAGTTGAAATTCATCTTTTTGCGTGTGAATATTCAATTATCCAAGCACTCCATTCTTTTTCTTTATTAACTTTTTAATACTTAATAAAAGTATAACAGAAAATGCACAAATCCTAACACTACAGTTGAATTAATGATCACAAAGTGAACACAGCTGGGGGAGCAACACCCAATTCAAGAAATAGAAGCCTCCCTGATAGATGTCCCTTCTAATCTACTTCTGCTGTCCCAAAGGGAACCTCTAGTCGGACTTCTAATACCATCCATTTTGCCTGTTTGGACCTTATTCAGATGGAATCACATGTTATACACATGATATTGGTGAGATTCATCCATGTTCTTCCAGTGCTATGGCTAGCTCCTTTTCATTGGTATATAGTATTTCATTGCATGAATTGACCACTCGAGTCCATCCTTGAACTCATGTCTCACTCAAGTCATTCTCTCTTCCTTTTACTCTCTGCCCTTTTACCTCTTAGGGCTCATCATCCTTCCAATCACCCAGGATAGTGCAAACAACTGAAGACTAGTTGAGAGGGCTCGGGAGCTATTAACAAGCTAAAAAAGCAGAATTCTTTTTTTCTTTTAATCATGACACCAAACATAATAAAGTCATGAATGTCAGAATTAGTGAGGAAATAATTACAGTTCCTCTGTGCGTACAGTGATGCTTCTCTTCCACTGAACATTTTCCAAGACAAGATGATTTCACAGAAGAGGGTGCGGCTGGGACATTGGAAAGTTGTGTGCTACGTCTTTGATAATCATATATACCAATTAAAAATGTGACAGTCATGATATATTCTCCTATTATTTTTCTAAAGCTGCCCAGGGGAGAGTCAAGAACTTGTTAATTGCTTTTGTTAGAGTCAGGGAAGACCAATCAAGCAGGATTGGAATAAAATGTTACAGCAGTATTTGATTGCCCTGATAATTTAATCAGAATGGTTATATTTCCTAAATAATGATTTAGCCAAGTGAAATAGCAGGTTGGTTTGATTGCCAAGATATTTTGTGCAAATTACTCAAACTAGGTCAGTGCCACTGAGAAGCAGGACAGCTGTTAAAGGGGGCAGCTGGGATCAAGTTCATCAGCATGACATTTATGCTGGGCTCTGTCCGCCGTGGAATTACCGAATTGTCAAATCTGGGCCCCGGAAAGGATCAGTCAGCAGAAATGCGGCCTCCAAACCCCAGGAGCGCCTGCCTCATCTCGACTTTTTCATAAGATGAAGGTCTGCACACACAGCCTGCTGAAAACACCACCAGGATCACACCAGGATCTCACTCACCTCCGCGAATCCATATTCAAAAGAAAGCAGAGAATCCATGGAAGATTTTATGGAGAAACAGGGTGGTTGGACCAAAACTCGGGTTAAAGCAAAAACCAAAACCAACCACTTTCCTTTATTTGTGATCCAAAGGACATGGTGGGCTCTGTAGGTATCTGCGGCAGAGTAGACAGTGATGCCAACATTTATTCAGGTCTCGCTGTGAGCTAGATATTGTTCTAAGGCTCCTCTAAGCTTTG